AGTTATAGTTATATATTTGAATTATGTTAAATACAAAATTTGTTTTAAAAGGAAAACATTTGTTAAACAAAAAGGAAACATTTTTACCGTATTTTGATTCAACTGATGTTTATGTGCTATTTTATTTTGTGTTAAACAATAAGGAATGAGTCTTAATGGAAACCAAGGATTCTCCATAAAACAAATCTAAAATTTATTGAAAGAATTAATTATTAAAAACAAATTAACGGTATCAACCAAGACCAACGCTAACCAAAAATTATATTTCAACAATAGCACTATTATATTTATATGCAAAAAATGCGAACTATTGTGGGCTCACAATAATAGCAAAAATTAGCGTCTTAAAGTAACCCAACCAGTCCTGCCCCGCTTTTGAAAGTATGTTGAAAATTTCAACCCACCTCGACCAGCCCTGCCCCTCCAACCTGCCAATATTTTAAAAAAATAATTTTATTTTCAAAAATTATATTCTCCATATATGTAAAATGTATCAAATGATGACAAAAAAATGTAAAATTTATCATGAATTAATATTTAAAAAAAAATTAACCGACAGGTCAACCCGCCCAGCCCTGTCTTGTCCCGGGTTGAACCTATTTTGACCCGTCTTTAAATGGGGTGGGTTCAAACAGGTTGATAAATTGAAATTTTCAACCCAACCCACCATTTTTTACGAGTTAAATAAGGAAATTCAATAGGTTAAACCTATTTTACCAGCTTTGGTCTCAACATTGAGATACATAAATAATATTTTTCATAGACAATGTAAATCCATCTTTCATTTTCAACCTTACACGGAAGTTTCAAACTTTTTCTAACATAAAAGGACAAAATGATTCTCAGGAGAATATACGGGGTCGTCTTTTATGTATGAACTGCCGAGGCTACGGCCAATAAACTATATTATAGTGGAGGAAAAGAAAAAAACTAAAGTTAACCTTGAGAGGCAACGGAGAGACAAAACTTATGATATGCATATAGATATTATATACATTGTCCTTTGGCCACATGCCATATGCAAAATGTGGTTCTTATAGTCATTTATAATTACAACTAATTGCAGAATATATGACCTTTTTTCAGCCATTAAAGATCATTATACTCGCTAAAAAATCAAAGATCATTCAGTGCTATCATTACTGCTCTCCAGTTTGTCCTGATTCGTGCAGGCGCCTCCTAGCACCTATGAATCATCGCTTTGAGAGGTTCACATGGATCATAATGCATGTTTGGACATGAGGGTATCTTTAACTCAATAATTTTATATCGCACAAAGTGTACATTTCATATGGAAAATGATGCCCTGCTCTCAAACTATTTTTTTACATTACTTATGAATTGTGACAAAATCAATTTTTCTAATCTATTTCTATGTCCTTTCAATTTTAATGGGTTAATACTAAAAAAAAAAAAATTAGAAGTAACTTTTATCTCCAATTTTATTTGTACTAAATTGTCATAATTAAATAGTCCGGATAGCGTTTACCAAAAAAAAATAAAAAATAGTCCGAATAGTAAAGAGCAAAATTGACATAGAAGATTTCAATACAATTATGACTTCTCACTTTTTAGTAAATGCATTTATATGTATTTCAAAGTCAACAAACCCGGTGGTCACTTAGACATTAATTGATATATATATATATATATATATATATATTCAATAGGAGTATCCTCACACCTTACCTAAAAAATAATAATTTTCATTTCAGGATGACCTAATAATAGTTTCATATCATACCAAATATTATTGGAAAAAATGTTTGAAGCTTTCTGGGGCATTCTAGAACGTAAAATCGAATTAATCCCATCTTTCTCTTATAAACTGAGTAGTGGAAAATGAAACAAGATTCCAAACCGATGATCCACAGCTTAACGTGCGTTTGGATGTGAATTGGTACTATGACTAGACCTTCGAAAAGTCCTAATTAATATTGAGATTCGTTGGATGTAGTCCATTCATGAGGTCAAGAGATGTCACAATACTTCTAATGCGACATTCTAAGCATATCTTCAAATAAATAAAAGCATCAGTTTGTTTTCGTACCATTTTTACCAAATGAAATACATCCTACACAAATCATTTGCAAGTTCTTGGGGGAAAGCAGGTCGCCTATATATTTAAAAAAGTATAAAGGTTACGGTTTAAAATTTAATGGTTGAGAGGCACATACGCTAATTGAAGTAGAACATGGTTAACGCACATGAAAATAAAATGTTAAATCAGTGTATCATCATCCAAGTTTATTTGCCACTCCCAATTGCGCCACATTATTGCCTTATTCAGTAATTCTTTTACTGGACTACTCTCCCAATTTGGATTTGTGTTTGATATTTGTTATATTCCAAATGTTTAATTGATTTAAAATATATTTTGATGATTACAATCAATTTAATGTTAATTTAATTGGTAATAATTTATTGTCTTGAAAATACTAATGAGCTGATTGTTTGAGATTTCAGAATAATATTTATTTTGATTTGAAATAGTATTCAAGATAATTGAAGATTGGATGAAGATTGGAGAAGATATGGAAGATACCATGAACAGAGAGAAAGACATAGGATCAAGTAAATTTTAGGATAAATATTATCATTTTAGATTTCATGTAAGAGAAATAAAATATTCTTTGCTAAAGATTTAGATTAGAATTGCATTGCATAATATAGAATAAGATATTTAAGCTTTACATATTTTTTATTTGAAAAAATCAGAAATCTTATTTTTGAAAATTGCATTTAAAATTTCATTTAAAGGTAAAAGATTTTTGGTTAGTTTTTGGGAAATATTTCAAATTTATATCTTTTGGGCTTTTAGGAGAGAGAAAATATTATTATTATAAATAAGGCTCATTGCATATTATTTATGAGAGGAGAAAATATAAGAGAGAGAAGAGAGAAGAATATACAAGAGAGAGTATTAAATTTTCAAGATTAAGATTCTTTCTTGTGCATCAATTGAAGAGCTTTCTCAAAAACAATTATTCATGCATTCATCTTTTGGCAAAGTGAATATTTCTCCATAGGAATTCAGAGTACCTATCTGCTTGAGGAACAGAAGCACTGAGGTAAATCATTTAATTGTAAATTTCTTCTTTACCTTTTGAAGGTCTGTACTGAAAAACTTGGATACCAGTTCTTATGTTGGGAAACTGGGATACCAATATATCTCTTTTTCTTTAGAAATTGAGAGTGACTTGAGAACCCTTGTGTGATAGGGTTTCGGAATCCGAAAGGGTTAGGATTTCGTACTGAGAAACTAGGAAACCAGGTGGGAATTTATGTAAGGGGTAGACTAGGAAACTAGGATACTAGGGAACTCCTTATACAGAAGTTTCATAGTGGAGTTGCCCGTCGAATTTCAGTATTCGATATTAGGGCCCGTGATTTTTCTCCCTTTTAGGTTTTCCACGTAAAAATTATTGTGTTAATATCTCTCCATCCTTATCTTGATTTATTGCTTTTAGTTAATTTTAATTAGCAAATTATTTTTATAAAACTCAATTCACACCCCTCTTGAGTTCATCCGGGACGAATGATTTGTTCACTCTAGATATTTTTTTTCAAATATTGATCAATTTACCGATTATCTAATTAATTCACTTTGAATATTATTGGACCCATTTCTCCCTAGACCATTTTTTTAATTTCCTGATTTGAATTCAATATCTCTGATTAAGGGAAATAAGCTTGTTAATCTTTATCATTTGAGCCAATAGTTACTGTTTAGTTGACTCTATTTAAAAATGAGATATGTAAAATTCCTAATAAATTTCCAACTATTATTAAGGAACATCTTCAGGTCATTATATTTGCAATGGGGCTCATGCGGAACATCTTCATATCTCCTTCAAACACTTGATCGTTCGGTCCAAAATATCTCCTCTCATTGTAATATAAAATGGCGATTAAATCATTGCTGCTCTTACTCGTTATGTCGTGAAATATGAAATACAAAATACAAAAAACAAGAAGAAGATATCGGGGTTATTTTGAAAAAATGCACCAGATTTCCAAATTGAAGGTGAGAGTTGGGGGCTATAAATAGCACTGAGTTCGCTATATTTGATAGCGAACTGTAACTGTCGGTAGCTAGTTCGCTGGCCCATGTAGCGAACTAGCATAGAGTTGCCGTGTGACACCTAGTTCGCTTGGACCTTTAGCGAACTAGGTGAGATGCTGCCACATGGCACACCTAGTTCGCTGGATATGGCAGCAGACTTCTCCACGTGTCCTGCCAATGTGTCAGAGTGCAACTGCATTTATTGCAACGTAGTTCGCTACTCCCAGTAGAGAAATTGTTGTCCACCAGAAACATGTCACATCAGCAAATCAAGTTCACTGGACACTGTAATGAACTTGCACTCGTGGCATATTTAGAAATAACATTGTTCGCATGGCATTTGGGTAAATAAGTACGTGAATAGTGGCATTTTGGTCACTGTTGCTATTATTAAAGAGGATTTCGAATTTCGAACCCTTCCTTTCCTTTGAATAAATCTTTGGTACTACTGCTGTACCAAAGATTCAGTACACCTCACCAATGAAAATATTACATGTTAGTTAAAATTCTGTTTTTTCTATCAGATTTTCTCTCTCCTCTGATGAGTAATGCTCTCATTGATGAGATGCACTGAATCTAGGTACAACAGTAGTACCAAAGATTTATTCCTTTCCTTTGTAATGCGTTTCTCGTTTGAGAAAAGTGTTCATCCTTTTAAATGACAAAATTTGTGTCATTTCACTATCATAAAAAGATGGGTCTCACACTTTTATTTTTTTTGTTAACTCTCTCTCTTCTTTATCTATCTCTTTCTCTCTCTTAAAATAACATAATTTTACCTCCTTTAAAATAATACACATTTTTTCCTTCTCGTTTAGTTAATGTGGTTGCTTTTTTGTTCGTCAATTTTTGTCCACTATTCACGTGACTGTTTATTTAAACAAAGGAAAAAAAAAGGCTTTTGGGTTTCTTTTATTCATCTACTTCTGTTTCATTGGTGCCACAATGCCTCGTTGGTCTTTGATTATCAGCCACAATAAATAAAGCCCCTACTCACTTTCCAAGGTTCACACCTCCATTTGCATCTTTGCCTCTATAAAATACCTTGTTTAATTCCCTCTTTCATTCAAGCCTCAACCTCTTTTTCTTTCTTCCTTAATAAATTTTCTGCCATCTCTGACATAAAGCAAAGATGACCAAGGTCACAGCCCTGTTCTTCACCCTGTTCCTCTGCTACATGCTTGTCCATGCCACACGCCCTGAACCAACTTTTCACAAGGAATCCTTGGTAAAAACACAGTATCAGGTTGGTTGAATTTTGGTGCTATATATTCACTTCTAAGTTACTTCATGTTGATGACTAATTAAGTGTATGATCTTGATTTCATATATGTAGAATTTTGAAGCATTTGATGAGAGCTGCGAAGGCGTTGGAGAGGATGAATGCTTGATGAGGAGAACACTTACCGCTCACGTCGACTATATTTATACGCAGAAGCATAAACCTTGAAAAAAAAATAAAAAAAAATTATATCTCCTGGTTCTGTAGCAACCACATATCAAGACAGGAGCAAGAGTTCTTTTAAGCTTGTTTTAGATACATGAGGTGTAGGTCACTAGTTCATTTGGGACCGTAACTTGAAAAGGGATTTTTTTTTTTTTTTTTAATTCTCTTTTGCTTATATGTATATTGTATGAAATTGGGATTTTATGAAAATATTTGTCTTGTTGATAGAGTGAGAGGTCATCAGTTATTATTAGGATGTGTCTCTTCCTTCTTTTGACATTCATATCTGACTTACCGGCTCCAGAATATTTCATATTTTGGTTCACAACCTGTGGTACCGAACCTGAAGTTGGAGATTGCATCACAATAAACTCACAACGTCAGCTTAAAGAATGCTAAAAACACGCAAAAGAAATTAATTGAGCGTGCACTGCCAACTCAAATGGGCTCATCAAGCACTAAAACGAAGCTACCTACATGATATTCTTTTGATCAATAAAGTTTAGCATCTTTTAACTAAAACAAAAGAGAAAGGATCCATTGAGTCATATAAAAGTACAATGGATTCAATGCTACTGTATCAATTACGGAAGTTAAAGAGAAAAAGTATGTGATCATTGCTTTGTTGAGGTAATTATAACATCGGATTCAATGCAAGCTATCAATCTCTGGAGAGTTTAGTATTCATGAAATCAACCACTTAGGTGGCTCTGGAGAGTTCAGTATTCATGAAATGAACCACTTAGGTGGCCTTTTCAGGTCGGTAATTTAATCAAATTTGCTGATGATTTAGTTTGAAGTTATAAACGGATGGAGGTAACGGCGCCGATCGTGGGATAATTATTATCAATGAGCTAAATAATAATCTATCATAATAAGTGAGTCCGAAATCACATTTCAACTTTAAGATGTTAGGTTTATGAATCATTTCCATTTATATGATTTTTATTAAATCCATTTCTAATCACTTCATTGCTCACACTTGATTTCCTAATATTCTCCTCATTATGAGTCTCAAGCTCACATTTGCTCTCTATATATCAAATAGAAGTTTCTTCAAGTATTAATGGATTTACATCAACACTTGACTAAAATCATAAAGTAATTGGATTATAAACTGAACATATTCAAATACTCGGTTGACATAATCAATTATTTATTTTGACACCACTGTTGGACGGTCATGGACAGCGCTCATGATACAAGAGAATTATGATCAATAGGCTAAGCGGTGGTTTATCACAATAACTGGACTCATATCAAATCTCAACCAAAACCTTAATATATTGGGTTTATATATCCTTTCATTAATCAAATTTTGACCAATATTAAACTTCTCAGCTCAGACTTAAATTTCCTAACAAGAGAATGATTCAAATCTTATTTGACATGGGAAGATAAGAAGCCTCGAAGAAATTGTAGGAAATCTTAGATTTATGCGGAAGCGGTTTAGGACCTAGTACATTGGTATGCTTACCGAATCATCCTTGTTTCACAATTACCTCTCGGTGCGCAGGTCTCGTGTAGAATCTTCCCTTGTAGGATTCCTCTTCACGAACAGCTCACCTCAGCGCCGCAGCACGAACAACCTCCTTGAAGCTGGACTGTGGCAGATCTTCCAAACTATCTCTCGAGGAGGAAGGGGAAGTGTGTGGGCACTGATTAGATTCAGAGCTTGCCTCTTTCTCACAAAAAAGACCTTAGAGGCTGATGACTTAAGAGGTACTATTTATATGGGTTCCAAGAAACCCTAGCTCATTGGGCTCTAGGTTCCTTGGGCTCTTCTCATACTAATAACCCATTTGGGCTTTAGTAAAAGAGCAAACCCAACAATCTCCCACTTGCTCTTTTGGATACAAACTTGAGTCGTAAAACCCAAGATCATGTAACCCATAAGTCATCATCTATCCGAAAAATACCCCATCCCTTGTCTCAAGCTAGCTTGGGGATCTACCATCTGTTATTAATCAAGGCTCCTGATAATCAACAAATGATTATCTAATTCGGTGCTACTCCACTAAAAGCCCGAACTTGAACTCCAAGATTAACAACACTTATAACATGAATATGCATCGCCCCTTTGTAGAATGTCTATAATTGATTGACAAGTTTTCTGTAACTCAATCAATTATTTATTCCCTTGACTATGATAGTTTCTTTAATGGATTACATGCACTGGCCAGTGTCTTTAATATCCAAGTACCGAAACATATCAAGGGGACATATCCTACAAATTCCATGTTGTTTATCTCATAAATACCGATAATCAAATAATCTCACTCCCAAAATACCGAGTTATTGGCCGTCAATAGATCGAACCTCACCCGTTGGTAAATCAAAGAATGAAAACTATTTGATTACCTATTTATAATAAACTCAGGATTAAGAGCAATCACATAACTATAGTTAACTGGAGATTTGATACCTTATGACAGAAAAACAACCTTAATCAAATCTCTCCTTGATCCTTTCAATGTGAATGTTAATTCACACCAATATTTTCCAATGATTCGGACAAAACCATTTCATAAAATATTGCAGCCTAAATAAAGTGCCCAACTTTATTTAACAGCTGTGAATCCATTCATCAATTGTGAGAACCTATGATCATGTCCTCCATGAACGTATCCATATGATCATATACTCCACAATTTGATCCGGACCTTTATGTTTGTAAATAGTGCGCAAAATAAATAAATAAAACCTTATTTATGAAATTCAGAAAATTATTTTATTGTTTCATGGTCTTACTCCAAGAGCACAATGAAACCAATAACTCCCACTTGCTTAATGCAAGTCTGGGATCCTCTTAAGACCCAAAGAAGTAACATGCCTCTCGAACACAAGTTCAGGCAAACTCTTAGTAACTGGGTCTGCAAGATCCACCTCTAATGCTATCTGAGTTTAGTGAAAAACTCATAGCTCGAGGTTGATTTTCTTGAGTCAATACCGACTTGAAATAACTGAATATTTGAAAACTCAGCTTTTCAAGACTCCCACTAGAATATACCAGCATATAATCTCTCGTTCTCCAAAGATACTTGAGTACATGCTTAACAATAATCTAGTATTCCTCTAGGTTCAAAATGGTACTATCTCACTACTCCCACTGCGTGACAGATGTCTGGTTTAACGCCCAACATGATATGCGTGAGTCTACCTTTGCCAAAGCATAAGATATCTTGCTCATGCATTCATCCTTCTTAGAAGTCTTTGGTCACTCCTTAGGAAGATGAATTCCACATCTGAGAATTATAATTCTTTTCTTAGAATTCTCATGTTGAATTTTGGGTTTTGTCAATGTAAGTAGCCTGAGGTGATGCCAACAACTTATTCTTCCGGTCTCATAAGAGTTTTATACCAAGAATATAATTGGCTTCCCCAGTGCTTTCATACCAAAACACTAACTTAGCCAACTCTTTATGCTTGATATTACCTCCACATTGTTTCTAATAAGGAGCATATCATCTACATAAAGTACTAGAAAAACTACTGTCTTCCGTTGGATCCTTTACATACAAATACACATCATTCATCAAGGTTCTCTCAAAATCAAAATTTTGATAACCTGATCAAAACTGATGTTCCAAGACCTGGATGCTTGTTTAAGTCTATGAAATAGACTTTCACAACTTGCATACCATGTGTTTCTACCCATTTGCTATAAACCCTTTTGGTTGTTGTATGTAGATATCCTGACATCCAACTCCCAAAATGAAATCTCATAATTGAGACTTATAGCAACTAAGAGAATCTGGATAGACTCAAGCATGGCGTCTGGCAAAAATTGCCTCCAAGCTAGCTTTGAAGGTTTTCACCTTTCTGTCCATCCTCTCTTTGCCTTTTATGTCCACATGCACCTTGTGGGTTTTACCCCTCTTGGTGTCTTTACTAGGACCAAACAGAGTTGAAATACAAGTATTTCATCTCATTGTTCATAGCTTGAGCAACACTTGATCAACAACATCTTCTAGTGCATTATCGTAACTAGTAGGATCAATATCACTCAACAAGAAACAATTTGAGAGTTAACAAGGTTCTCTCCCACTACGAATGTATTGCACTAGACCTTGTGTATTTATAGGTAAAACAAAGAGTGGGTCAAATGATGGATCTTCAATTTCTTGAGGATCCGCTTATCCTTGATATTGTTCATTTACATGTGATACTAATATTTCTACTAGTTTCACTTATATATTATCATGTTGAATTTCTAATCATGGTTCTCTTGTTTGTTCACTTAGAGATATATCTATCCCCTCTTGAACAATCAAGGGAACAGTGGATGAAGCTTCTAGAGATTCTGGAAATTCTTGATCTGAGATAAATCTCATCAAGAATAACCTAACTTAAGAGCTTATAATTCCTTATCTAGTCCTCCTTTAAGAAAATCATGTGAGTGCTCACTTAGATTATCTTGTCCTTAAGACTAAATAAGAAATCATCTCTAGTTCTCTTAGGGTAGCCAAAACATATGCACTCTTCCATACAAGATTCCATCTTATACTGCTGTTGTAGGACGTGTGCCGTAGCACCCTAAATCCGAATATGGTTTGATCTGGGCTTACACCCTTTCCATAATTCTTTAGGTGTCTTTACAACAAATTTTGACGGAATCAAGTTAAGAAGGTACATTTCCTTCTCTTATGCATCTCCCTTGAACAACATTGACAAAGATGAATAACTGAACATGATCTTTACCAAGTCTAGAAATGTTTGATTTTCACATACTGCAACTTCATTCAACTAACGCATTCTTAGAGTTGACAGTTACAAAAACTATCCCCTCTTAAATCAGGTAAGACCTGAACTTACCAGACAGGTAGCCAACACTTTAGTCAGACCAAAGTGTTTTTGATTTGAACACCTACATGCTTTTCTGCCTCAGACTAAACCTCTTGGAATTTCCAAAAGCTTTAGACTTATGGCGCACTTGGTTCATCTGTCCAAATCCAGAGTAAACATTCATATAATGAAGTACTCATCACCTCTTCTGGTCTGAACACTAATTGGTCCACATACATTAGTATGTACCAATTCCAGTTGAATAGTTGCGCAAACCTTTTTGGCCCTTGTAGGATTGCTTGGCCATTTTACCTTCCAAATAGGACTAACATGTAGCTGTTAGTTAAAAGATTCTTGAACTTTCAGTCCCTCTTTTAACTAAAACATGTTTCCTACTTGAGATAATGTGACTCAGTCACAAAGGCCAAAGTTATGTTTCATTTGAAACTTTTATTTCTTTGGTGAAAATCCTTGTTCATCATCTTTTCCATTCAACATAACAAATTTAAAAAAGGGTATAGGACATATGTAATAAAGACTATTCAAACAATGTACCAGAAAAAACAAGACGAAGATGAACTTCGAAATGTAACTGAGGAATCAATTGCATTGTCAACCCATGTTTTAACCAAAACAACTAACAAAAATTGAATTCCT